GGGGGGGGAACTTGTTTTGTATTTTCCCTCTAACATTGGTGCCAGGGTTTTGTTGTTTTGTTTTGTTTTTCTACCACGTGTTTAGCTGTTTCAACCTTCCCACCCATGATCACTCAGGCTGTGAACTTCATCCAAAGCCATGCCATGAATTTACTACGGTTATGCAGACTTGGTTTAGCAATTGATTGGACAGTGGTTGTACAGATTTTAATTGCCTTACAACCACGTCTCACAAATACTCACAATGTACAGTAACTTGTTCAGTATCCGGAAGGTGTATCTTTCAGTATATAGATGATGTAATCAAGAGGTTTGTGACATTCTGCTTTCTCCTGTTCATCTCTACAGGAGTAGTACGTAAAGTTGTAACGATTTCTCGCTCTGCCTCTTCTCAAAGGGCCTGGTGTTGTTTTGGCAATAATTGGTTTCCTTGTATTTTTAGCCCTACATATCACTACCTTCCTCTGATATAACTGGTTTCGTCATTGGTGTTCATTTTTCACCCATTTTTTAAAAAAAAAGTTTTGTTGCTAGTTTTTGTCATTTTGGCAGGGATTTCACGTGTGAAAATGGTTGTCTAAAATGTTTCTTTTGTAAGGGAAAAAGAAAGAAAGTCGTTGGGTGCACTTTCTGAACTTTCAGACAACTCGGATCAGTTTTTACTCAACGGATTGCTTTGTGTTGTGAGGTTCTTTTCTGTATCATTTGAGAACAGATGGGCTTTAATGGCACTTTACCAAACTTATGAATTTTTTCTCTTGCAAAAACGGAATTTTCTTCTGTACTGTCAGCCTGGCCAGTTCATTTTAATTCCTACATGTGACTAGAAAATCAGAGCGATGGAACTGGTATTGTTGCTTTGGTTTTGTTCTACTTTTTAAAATATATTTGTTATGCATTTTCATCGGGGATTGCCTAATGTAAAAGCAATTTCGTACCTCATTACCTGGATATATTGACTCAGAGACCCAAGCTCTGAAATGCGGTTGTGTTTTTGTGCCCTCTGTTTTATTGATCACTTTGATTGACTGGCATTCCTCGAGGTATTGTTTCCAAAGACAGCGCACAGACTGAAGCCTAGCACTTTATTCTGTTAGGAGTGACTCTGTATTCTATTGCAACAAAAGCTTCCGGATAAGACGACAATCATTCGGGGGTATTTTCTCTTACATTTTCTCCTTCATTCCTGTGGTAGAGCTCAGGGGTAGCTGATCGTTGGTGTAGGTTTTACAGCCCACTATAACTTGTAAATGGTGTGACATGTTTTCCTAACAGACCCCCCTTGTGTGTTTCTGGCTTTCACCTACTAACTGATGAAAATACCGTACTCTTAATCATTTTGTGGGTTTTTGTTAGCTTTTTTTGGTCAATACATTGGCAACATGAGGCTTTTTCTTTTTCTCAACTATCATGGTATTAGTTGAGTGAAATCAGTTGACAGGATTGATTTGATGCACCTTCAAGTTAAGTCTGACCTCAGGTGAGGTCAAGTATAGAGTTATTTCTCTGTCAGGGTTTGAAGTAATGTTTGTCTAATGAAGGCACAGATGTTATCACCTGTTTCAGGTTCATTATGAAAAGCTTTCCTATTTTTCTGACCTCCCATTTCTTCTCAACATGAGGAGAGCGCCGGAAATTAAAGGAGTAAAAGTCAACAGGGACAGGACGGCGGTCGGGAAAGTCAAAAAGAGCAGTTCTCAGTCCTATTTTTTTTATTTTAACAAGTGACCTCATGTTCATTTCATGAGACATCTGGGTCACTTACGTCTTTGTCATTCATTCCAGTCTCTTGTAGCTTTGTGTGTTTTAAATGAGTACGTTACCAGAGCCTTTTCCCCCGTTTTTGGTCTCAATTTTGCCTCGGAATATCTCTATGAAACAAATTTGTTTGCCCACCCCCATCTATACCATTTGTGATGTATGTATTAAATTTGGAACATGCGTATAGCTCAGTATTGTTTTTGTTGATTATCTGAATACCCCCCTTTATTTTGCTCTCATAGCTTTATAACGTGTAGTGTAAGATACAGTAAAAAAAAACCTATGGCTTTGCTTTAACACTGCAACTGCAAGTTGTTTTTTACTTAATACTCAGCATAGCACTTACAAAGAAGTGATTTGTTTGTAGTAAACTGTTTTGGAGTTGTAGCAATTTTGTTTTTCCTTTTTTCAATAGCGCATCAGCAAAGTTTGTATCAGTAAGGTAATGATATCAGATCTAATTATTTCGTCTGCTTCATAATTCTTAGTTATATATACCAATTGCTACCATTGTATAGGAGGACTGGACAAAATGCAGGGACAAAAGTGACAAACGTAAAATTTGTGTTCTGTATTTAGTTTGTGAGCCCAGCGAGAGATATATTAAAGTTGACAGACTACTGTACTCAACTTCCTACCTTGCAAGTTCCATGACAAACTTTTTGACATATTTTTGAGTTGAGCTTGTCATTTACTGGATGCTGGGTAGATATTTTACTTTTAACCAGAGAGTGCAAACCATAGACTGGCCTTTGCACTGAGGGGAAATATTCTGGCAAGATTCTTCGATCCAAAGCTTGAACTTCTCTGTTCATAAACATGTTCTCCTGTTGCCAGTTCCTCGGCAAGCTGCTTCTGGGGAAAATCATGACTTGTTTGTCTTGTAGTCCATGGTAGGGGCTAAATTATTGAACATTGTTTGAAGTTTTTCTATTTTCTTTATGTTGGTTAAGAAAGTTTTTTTCTTACTTTTTTGTTTTTTATTGTCGATTATTCATTTTGAAAGCCTCAATCACGAGTCTGGTATGTTGGTCATAAATTTACTTCTTTAATCTTTTTGTTCAAGAAACGGGGCAGTGTTTTGTATAAATACACGTCCTGTTTTTATGTGCTGGGGACAGTACATGTTGCAGTGGTATTAGGCTTTCAGCTTTCAGGTTTATGTGTATTCTGTACAGATCCATGTCTTGAAACCATACAGTATGCATGCTTGCTTTTTACTTGCTTCTTTGCAGGAACTTTTCGGCCAGCATTTTTACAGTGTTGTGTTGGGCCCAGTCGCTTTGCTGAATTTCCTCAAATGTTGTCCTATTCTCTTTGGTCTAGTTGAGAGTTCTATGAATGTGAGCTTCAGCTTAATCCAGTAACCTGACAGGTTGATTATTTGTTGGTTAAGTGCCATGTGCTGGACAGCTGAGCCCACAAAGCTCACAAATTTTGAATCAACTGTTGAAACTGTGAGAGGTTGGATGAGAACATTGCAAACAAGGTTATTTCGTTCAACTAAAGCAATTTGCCTTGGACATTTCAGGCACTGACTCTTCTTAAACAGGGTCCCTTTCTGAAATGTACAACGTTAATTTCTTGTGTTAAGGCTTCTACATATTAACCTTTTTGGGGTGAGCTTGTAAAGTTAAATTTATGGGGGGGGGAAGTGTAAGTGGCAGAAAAAGTCATGTTTCCGACTAGTGTTCAGAATTTTAAAATTATCTGAGCAGAAAGGTTTTGAGATCCCTAACAAATGCTTAATCTGATTCTGTGAATTATTAGATTAACCTCTTCACTGTCACACTGGTTTTTAGGGGGTTTTTTGTAGGCTATATATTATTTAAGTGCATGTATATATACGATCCAATCTTATAGTCCGTGACAGTCTTGATTCAGACAGTGAAGGGGTCTTGGCAGAAATATATGATTTAAGAAATATATTTGAAAGATGAGTTAATAAACATAGAGAGCAAGTAAAAGCAAATAAAAAGAGAGAGAATATAAGTAAAAAGAGAGCAAGTATAAAGAGAGAGAGAATATAAGTAAAGAGAGAGCCTGTATAAATAGCGAGAGGGAGAGAATATAAGTAAAGAGAGAGCCTGTATATATAGAGAATGAGACAGAAAAATGAACAGTAAATTCAATTATTCTTTCACTTGTGTAGCATTCCCTGATGACTTCATCCACGATTACAACCTGATAAAGATTTACTCTTTCGACATCTGAAAGGAACGGCTGTACACCTGTGAAAAGAGTGAACCAGAGTTTGCAGTGCTTTTCGCAGCTAACAATATTATGATATGTAGAGCTTTTGTGACAGTACTTTGGCAAAGCTGGTACTTTTACTTTTGGACTGTAAATACCGTGTGCCAGACAGAGAAAGTGCGATGACTTTCAGAGCGTGTAGTTGTTGATGAGTAAATCGTGTCGCGTAAACTGAGAGCAATTTTGTTCCTTGGTCACGAAGCATCGTGCAATCTCCATCCATGTCGTCTGACACCCAAGTGGTCTTCTTTGTACTTAATTTGCAATGCGTTACAGAGCAGAACTTACTCGGAAGCATGTTGATGATGTGTATTTTTCTCTACAGACAAAATGTTGTCCTTTTGACTTTTGAAAAGAAATATGGCAATATAATTATAATGATGATAGAATTATAAGATG